TCACTCTGGAGAATTCCAGATACCATGTCATGAGGATACTCAAACATTGCGGAGAAGTTCATGTGGAGAAACCGAAGGCCTCATGCCAACAGCCAACACCAATCAGCCAACCATGTGAGTGATCTTCCTTGGAAAGGTATCCTCCAACCTCAGGCAACCTGTCAGATTACTGCAGCCCCTTCCCCTATGACCCCTCGCCACAGCTGATACCTGATTGCCACTTCATGAAAGATTTTGAGCCAGAACCACATGACTAAGCCAATCCCAAAGTCCTGGTACATACAAACTGTGAGCAACAGTAAATGCTTTTTTAAAAGTCACCAAGTTTGGGGCAATATATTATACAATAATATAAAACTAATACTGATTGTATGGGTATGTATGTGTGTGTATGTATTTATTTGATTAGCAATTAAGCTACATATAATCTATCAATATAATAATTACTTTTTTAAAAGATATACTCCTATGTTGGTAAAGATGGTAATAAACAAGCCATGTACTGCCTAAGGTCGGTATCAACAAACAGAACCTTTTTGGAAAGCTGTTTTTCCAATATGTATCAGGAGCCTTAAATATATCCAAAAATTAATTCCAAATGGATCAAAAACCTAAATATAAGAACTAAAACCCTAAAGCTCTTAGAAGAAATCATGAGGGTAAAACTTCATTACCTTGAATTTCGCAATGGATTGTCAGCTATGATATCAAAAAGCATGTAACAAGAGAAAAAAATCCATAAATAATACTTCATCAGAATTTTTAAAATGTATGCATCAACATGCATTACCAGGAAAGTGAAGAGAAAACCTACCAAGTAGGAGGAAATATTTGCAAATCATATATCTGATAAGGCCTAGGAATTCTTAAACTCAACTACAAAAAGAAAAAAAAAATAGCAAAAGACTTGAATAGACTTTTCCTCATAGGAAATGCAAATAATCAATAAACATATGAATATATATACCCAACATAATTCATCATAGGGAGATATACACTAAAATCACAATGAGATATCAATTCATACACACTAGGATGGCTATAATAAAAAGAATGGGAAAAAAAAACTACTGGTGAGGACATGGAAAGATTGGAACTCATATGTTGCTAATAGAAATGTAAAATGGTACAATAATACTTTGGAGAACAGTTTGGTCGTTCCTCAAAAAGTTAAACATAAAATTATCATACTATCCAGCAACTCCACCCCTCAGTATATAGTCCCACATTTGAAAATAGGTAGGCAAAAAATAATAATAATTCTTGTGTACAAATGTTCATATCAGCACTATTCATAATACTCAAAAGGTAGGGAAAAAAACAATATCTATTAATGGAGTATTGGATAAAAAAACTGTGGTAATACATACAAAGGGATATCATTCAATCAAAAAAAAGAATCATGTACTGATATATACTCTAATGTGGATAAAACTAAAATATGCTAAGTGAAAGAAGTCAGAAATAAAAGGTCACATAGTATATGAATCCATTTACATGAAATATCCTAAATAGGTAAAAACATAAAGACAGAAGTCAGATTGTTGGTTACCAGAGGGTAGTGTAGGAAAGAGTAGAGAGTGACTGATTAATGGGCCTGGGGTTCCTTTGGGGTGATTAAAATGTTTTGGAACTAGATAGAGGTGGTGAATGTACCGAATGTCACTGAATTGTACACTAAAATAGTTAATTTTGTGTTAACTATTATGAATGTCAGTTCCATTACCAAATCTGCTATACACTTTCAGAAATTCCACTTATAGAAATGCATACCACAGAAATATTAAATTCAGGAAAAAAAAGGTGTATACTGAAAAAATTTCAAAGCATTTTTTTTAAATGAAAACAGCAAAGTTCCAATAGGAAGAATCTGTAAGTTGAAACAGCCTTTAATTGAGTTTTTCTAGTTCAGCTCATTTACCTTATAATAAAGATAAAGACAAATCACTGTACAATTGCACAGTCTGCTAGGGTGAAGCTATTACTACCTTCTTGAAAGGCCTTGGATAAAATTCTAAGTCTGTCTAGTCATGCATTTTCCAGCTTCTCTGAGACTAAATTTTCTCCTCTCTGATATCAAGATAATAGTATCTCCCTAAAATAATGCTTAATATATGATAACTACAGTTTCCCTACTTTTATATATACAGGAGGATAAAAGGAATAAAACACACCAAAATAATTTTAGAGAATATGTTTGGATAGTTAGATTTTTTAAAATTGTTTTTTCCCATCTTTGTTAATGGGAAGTATACACATGTGGACACACTCTCAAATACAGTACACACACACAGGGTGATCATGACATTTAATTACTCTAAAAACATCAATAATCCCAAATTGCTATATCAGTTTAAACTGTATAGAACAGAATTAGATTTACATTCTTCTTTAATTTGGGCTTGACATGACTTACAGGTTTTTTTCTCTCCAAATTGTAAACCTGTGGGCAAGACTGAATTGACTGCCATCCCTCAAATATTTAATGCTGCTTCCATGAAGTCCCATGTTATCTGCCCACCTGGAATGTTTTTCATTCATCTTTATTTGATTCAAAACCAAGCATATGCTTCCCTGTCTAACATGATTATCTTAAATTAAAATTTTCTCTTTTCCTTATATTACCACTCTTATGACACATCGTTCAATACCGTATGTGGTAAATATGTTTGGTCATATTACTTCTACCTGACTGTATGTTTCTTAAAGGAAATGATTCAAACTTGTGTGTGCATATTGTGTGCAAACACACACACACACACACACACACACACACACTCCTGCATAATGTCTTTTTCAGTAGTTGATACATGATAAATTTCGAATAAATAAAATGAATAAATGAAATTGAATAAGACTGTGATATTTAGTTTAATCATTTTTTACCTATTACAATAATCCAGAGATTGATATATCATAAACTATCTTTATTTTTCCTGAAGTTAAACCAAAAAAAGAGAATATTAAGATTTTCTTAATATGTTAATGGTGTTCATTTACATTTTGGTATTAATTATATTCTCATATAATCAACATACTTTGCCCGAATATCTAAAGTTAAACTAATTTTATACATTGTATTCTAGAGAGACTTACCATTATACATCCCAACAGCAATGTATGAGTGACCCAGTTTCCCTGCATGCTTTTTAAAAAAATTTTATCCATTCTGATATGAGTGTAGAAACATTCCTTATTGTTTTAATTTGTATTTATTTAATGGCTAACAATGTTAACCATATTTTTATCTACTTATTTGCCATCTGCATATATTCTTCAATGAAATGTCTCATGTCTTTGCCCATTTTCTGATTGTATAGTTGCTGTTTTTTTGTAACTCTCAAGTTCGAGAGTCTTGATATAGTCTAGATATTAGTCCTTCAGTGAGTATCTGAATTGCAAGTATTCTCTCCCAGTCTATAGCTTGTATTTTCATCTTTATAAAAGAGACTTTCATAAAAGAATACCTTTTCCTTGTAAATTTTATAAATGTGATGTATAGTGTAAGAACTATTTTCCTAGCCATAGATCTCAAAGATTTTCTTACACATTTTTTCTAAAAGTTTTATAAATTTACATTTTTACATTTAAGTCCATAATTCATTTTTAGTTTGTATGTTCTGTGAGGTTTAGGTCCATGTGTTTTTGTTTGTCTGTTTTGCCTATGGAGGTCCAATTGCCCCAGAACCATTTGTTGAAAAGACTATCTTACCTCTATTAACTGGCTTGGCACCTTTGTCAAAAATCAGGCATATTTGTACGAGACTACATCTGGGTTCTTTACCCTGTTTTATTGATCTATCTGTCTATCCTTCTGCCAGGTCCACTTAGCTTTAATTAGCTACTGAGATCTGATTTTTTTTTAAGTTTATTATCAGTTTAATATAGCAGTTATTTTAATTTAAAATTACTTAGATAAACAATATTATTTAAAAACATTTTTAGGATGTTGTAATATTTTTGTTTATAAAAATCAAGTATTTTTCTTGCTCTTACATGTGATTTTTTAAAATCTCAATGAATAGAGACAACAAAGAAAAAGTTAAAGAAGGCAAAATTTGTAATAGAAGATTACTTTGATTGCAATCTCCATCTTTTTCTATTAATTATTTTAAATAAAAAAGTATATAAACTCAGCTAAAAATATAGCATGTGTATATTTCAAAAAACTAAAACCATCAAACAGAAGGTCCTTTGAACTGTAAAATTTCATGTGCTCAATATCTTTCAATGGATTATATGAGGCTTTCCGCCTTAAGTCTATAAATTTTTATTGTCCGTCTTAAAGCACATAAAACTTTCTTGAATGATTTCCAATCACTTATTTTCTACAGAGACTAATCTGCTGAACTGACTTTTCAAAATTTACTTTGCTTTTTAACAATGTGAATGATATCTAAGTACAAAATATTCAACAACCATACTTATGCTCTAATTGTGCTATAAAGCTGACATGGAATACTAAAGCCCTAATTGCAATTAGAGCATTTTATTTGCTCTGAATTAATTTTTTGGCTTGTCTCACTTTCAAAATTTTCTAAAACCACAAGGCTTATGCTCAAATACCACCAAAGAACTCTTTGACCATAACCTGAACCAGTTTTTCACCAGTCCTTTCCTGCTATCCATACTGCCACTCAGGGCACAGCTATTAGGAAACTCCCTAATCTTTACACACATGAAACAATCAAGTATAGAATAAACCTATGTTGAAAATGTCAAAAGCCCCTAGTTTTCAGTTTGGTATAACCTGAAACACTCCCCTCTAATAAAGATGAACAGAAATCAGCACCTGGCAGATTGCCTCAGTTATTTACTAGCCATGTATGGAAGAAAGGACATTGTCTGCAAACTTCTCATGTAGTATTGGTTATTAGTGATCCCTGCAGCTATTAGATATGCCAGATTTTCTCTAGGTGGGTAGATAACCAAGGAAAACTGTGAACTATCACCTGAACGCATTATAAAGAAAATGTTTTCAAAGAAGATCATTCCTTTACCTGTTTGACATCATATGCCAGAAGAACATATTTTAAATCTGGTGAAACAAAATATCTTGATGCTTTGAAGGTTACCTAAAAATAAAAGGAAACAATTATTTTAAAAAGCTTAACAACAGAGAGATAAATGTGCATTTGGATATAGAATTATAAAAAAACAAAAAAACAAAAAAAAAAACTTGATGCTAATAACACTGAAATAGGCATTCTCATTCCTGTAATTAATATGGACATGCATGTGTGTATATTATACAGATGGATATAAAAACTTGGAGAGGCTATATTACACATTTCATTAAAAAAATTGTTAATGTACCTTTTCTACATGTTATCACTCAAAGACTATGTTAATATTTTCATTATAAAAAACAAAAAGTAACAACTCATTGAACTCCCTAAGTAACCAAATGTTTTTATATTTGTATGTGCAATTAATCAAAAGGAAAAGAAATAGTGACATTCTGCGGTATCATGATTTTATGACCGAACTTTGCATATAGGTTAAACATTTATATTGAAAGAAGCCACTATATTAAAGACAGAATTTCTTTAAACTCCCAGAGTGAAACAAATTAAAACACAATACACAAATACATAATTAATTTGATATATGTATATAAAATAT